TGGTGCATGGCCATTTGCAAGTGTCCGGGCCTTAGCAAGGCAGCTTGGCTTGCTGATTTGGGAAGGAGCTTTGTGTTCACAAGACGCCTGTCAGAATTACTCAGCAAAGCTCGAGTGTTGCCGTTACCCCCGTACACAATAAAACTCTCACTGATCCATACATCCTCCATTATATACAACTATAACCATAATACCTATGTGACTCGAACCATATTATAGTTAACAAATCATTCCTTAGGAATCTCGTTTGCCCACAGAGGCCCAGAAACGGAACAACATTCCGAGACAGACCGTGGGTGCACTGACGGTGCCCTGGGGGCCAGGTACAACTGGGAAAACACTCTCCAATCAGATCACTACCACGGGCTGTCCTGCATTGCAGCTCTCACACCTTTGTTAAACTTTTATTTTTTAAATGGCAAGTTACAGGCCTGTGCAGATGCTGAGACTCGCGACTATTTTAGGGAGCTGTGTTCTCTGGAGTTTATCCAAACCCCTCTGCAAGGTCACCTCATCCAGAGCAACTAGCAAACCCGCACAGAGACAGGTCCCTCCAAGCACGCTAGTGTGCAGGAGGCTGGATGTGAGCCCTCAATAAGCGAACCTTTCCGGCTTTTGTGTCTGTCCCTCCCGGCCCCAGGGAGATGGTGAATGCAGCTGTGTCGTTTCACTTCTCTCAGCACAGACGCAGGGCACAGTGCGGGGCACACACCACATCGAACTACTACTCAGCACAAAGCCTGACCCGGACGTGCAGCATTTACATTGTGCTGGGGACGTTTGCCGTCTCGTGCCTCAAGCATAAAAGGGATTTTTATGAATTATTAAGAACGCTCTTCTCAATTTGGGGCAAACTCTGGTCTGTCCCGGGGGTTCTCTCATCTGGTAGCAGAAACATGTTTTACAAAAGCTCAGAGCGGGTTTTGGAGCTGCATTCAGAGCTAGCTGGGTTACTATCTAATAGGGATGTAAAAACCGGAGGAAATTGTTAACCGGTAAAACTGTATGTTTAACCGGGTAACTGCCTGCCGCGGGGGTGGGAGGGGCTGGTGCAGTCCGCGTAGCAGTGGAGCAACTCCACCCACGGTGCACTGCAGGTGGGGGCTGCTCCGGCCAGGGCCCGCTGCACCGCAGTGTGGGCAGGGAGCCGCTCTGGCTCGGCTAAGCGCTGGTTAACCGGTTATCCCAGTAACCGTGCCGGTAAGGCAATGCTTGCCAGTTAGCTAGTTAACCCATTACATCCCTATTCTCTAAACTCTGCGACGCTTTGCAGGGAGCAGTTCAGCCCGGGATCCCAGCGGCTCTGTGACAATCTAACCCGCGTTAGCTAGAACAGCATTCTGAGCAAATCTGCATTGGCCAGAGGTTCCGAGCCACCGTTACCGTTTGGCTAGACCCACTGGGCGCTGCCCGGGACTGGTCTATCTGCCGCTCTCCACATCTAGCGCGCCCTGCCCAGGAAGAGTCGTTGCTATTCATCCCTGTCCAGGGCCCTACGTGGCGATGAATCAGCTAACAAGAATGGGCCTGCCTCAGTCTGGCCACTCCCGAACCGTGGCACCGCCCAGGGTAATTCATTATGTGAATCAAGGTCCAAAACGGGCTGGTCCAGGAATAGCCAAGGCCCAGATTCCAGAGGAAAGAATTAAAAAATCACCAGCATGAGAGTAAGGAAATGCAAAGACCCCGGGATCTGTGCACAAGCCTCTGGAACTAGCCCCGTGCACAGCGGGCTTAGACCCCCTTTCCAAGGGGCACGCCAATCAGGCCCCATCAGCTACTCGTGCGCGAGGGCCAGGCAGCCACCTTCTTGAGCATGTTAAATGTGCAATAAATTCTCCCTCCACATAAAGAGCGAAGAAAACCCACTGAGCCCCCGGCTCCCATCGAAACAGACGGGTGCTCTGCATGCGCCACGCGAGGAAGCAGAGAACGGAGGAGTTTGGTGGTGTCGTGAATCGGGGCAGCCGAAAGGTTAAGGTTTGCCAGACTTGGACACCTGCAAAGCAGCAAAACCTTCCCTTGGCCGAGACGTCCCCCGGGGCCACGCGGACTGTCCCACAGGAGCGCCGGCACTCCCCGCGCACTGCCCAGGCTGTGGTCTGGAGCAGCGGCTCTTTGGAGAGCAGGCCGGGTTTGCACAAGCCCCCGAGAAACGGTGCGAAAGCCCAATGGCCAGATCCAGAGACATGAGCCCGGACAGAACGGTTCAAACAGCTTGTGGGCCTGGCCGGGGGCGCCGTAGGGCCGGGGCCATCTGCGGCTCCGTGGGGCGGGAAAGCATCGCCGATGCGCAAACAGGTAAAACTCACTGCTAGCACCGGGCCAGGCGAGCGCCTCCCAACAGGGTGCAAACCCAATCACGGAGCGTTAACTCTCCGTCGCCCGCAGAACCCGGGCTCTCTGCTGCAGGACGACAGGTGCCTCAGCAAATGCAGCGGACAGCGCCACGGAGCCTTGTGCTTGCCTGGCTGGTGAGACTCCTCTCCTGCCCGTTAGCATCTGCGAGTTCATTTAACAGCTGACTTGGCCTGTACTAGCTTCTGAGTCGTTGGCGTGGCTGAGAGCAGACACTGCCCAGGGCGTGGGGCGTTACACGTGGCTCTGTACCGGCTGGGGAGGACTGCGGGGCATTGGCCACGCACATACCTGAGGCCTGACCCTGCCTCCCCAAGGGGCCGGGTCATTTTGCTAATCTCCCAGCAGCACTTTGAACCAACAGCCAAGAGCCACTGAAAACACGGCTCGTCGGTATCAGGAGCTGACGGTGCTGGAGGGCAGCCAGGGCCAGGCCCCAGGGAGACGTGCGAAGCAGCTTCCCGCATCCGCCCGCCCGTCAGCGCAGAGGGACAGACCCTGCGGCACGTGAAGAGGATAACGTGGCCTGGCCAGGGGTAGCCCTGCCCTGCGCGGGGAGGGGGGATTCGCCCGCGCTCACATGGGACTGGACACGCTCCGGGGGACCTGCTGGCCCCGCGGCTGCCTCTGCGCTGCTTTTCCCCCGTGCTGGCGCAGGCCCGTCTCCAAGCGGCAGCCACACCCCAGGGTGCAGCCCCGACGCACCCAGAGACACACCCGGGCTCCCCCCTCGCTGCTGGCAGGGCAGGGACCAGCGCTCGCTCTGCCACGCCCCTGCACGAGCAGCACCCGAAATGAATCAAGCCCCCTGGGGGCAAAGCACTGCAGCCGCAGCACGAGCCAGGCAATCACACCACAAGCTCTAGAGACCGGGGAGGCTCCATCAAAGGCCCCTGAATTTAACCCCCTCATCTTCCTGTCCCAGACACCCCGCAGAGCCGTCCCCCCGCAGGGCCCAGCGCTCACCGGCCGGTCTCCGCGCCTGCGGGAATCTCCATCGGCTCTAAGAGGAAGGCGCCCGCCAGCTAGATGCCCGATGGACTGACCGATGAAAAAGCCCGGCTCTCAGACAGGCTCAGCTTGCACCAGCTTCCTAGCTGCAAGGACGGGCCCCCAGAAGGAGTCCACGGGCCCCACAGGGGCGCTGTCTGCAGGGCTGGGCGCTGGCCACGCCGAAAGGACTGCACGTCCTGCACGTCCTCCCCCCTAAACCCCGGGGCCGCCGACCTTCGGAAGCGCCGGGACTAGAACGCTTTGAGCCGCCAGCCCGGCCCCGGGGCTGGGGGAGGGGCAGGAAGCTGGCATGTGCTTTTCTGTGCTCGGGGAGAACAAGGCAAGGTGCTTGACGGTACCAAAGCAGCAGGCGAGGGCAGCGTGTGGAGACAGGGCGGCCGGCTCAGTCGGCCTTTCCCATCTTTGCAATCAGCTCGTCGCAGATCTTGGTCAACTCTTCAATTTCTTGGTTCTGAAAGACAAGCGGCCAGAGGGAGATGCGGCGCTGGAGCCCGGGCAGGATCCCCCCAGCGGTGACACACACAAACCAGCATGCGCACAACAGGGACCGTGGGGCCCAGCCAGTCTGCCCCTTTGCCGACGCTCTGCAGGGATCGGGGCCCTCGGGGGCAGCTTGCCAGGGCCAACGCGACTGCTCTGCCGTTGGCACGAGAGTCCAGGGCATCCCCTCCGGCACCACAGGGTCATGGCTACTCATCCCTCTCAGCCAGGCGCTCCCGCACGCCCCAGAGACACTCCCTAGAGCGATGGTGGAGGTCTGCCCCCCAAAACAGCCCACAGCTTCGCTGAGCCCCTGGGCCAGGCAGGGGAAGAGGTCCTGGCTTGGCGCGACTGCTCTGCCGTTGGCACGAGAGTCCAGGGCATCCCCTCCGGCACCACAGGGTCATGGCTACTCATCCCTCTCAGCCAGGCGCTCCCGCACGCCCCAGAGACACTCCCTAGAGCGATGGTGGAGGTCTGCCCCCCAAAACAGCCCACAGCTTCGCTGAGCCCCTGGGCCAGGCAGGGGAAGAGGTCCTGGCTTGGCGCCGCCGGAGAGGGCGGGGCCTTGGGCAGAAGGGGCGGAGCTTGAGTTCGAATACGCAGGGCTGCCGGGAGCAGCCGCACGGGGCTCTGGCAGGCATTTACCGAAGCCGGGGGCCC